CCGGTTCCCTGCCTCGCAGGAGCCACGGAAGAGCCGGGGGTCTCCCCGAGGGGAGGGCAGGGGGGGCATAAATGTTGGTCTTGCTACACTTGCCGGTCTTGGCAGAGGGGCTTCTGCTGAGGGGCAGAGATGGCACCTTCTTACTGGGTGTCCTGCTGATGTGAGGCACCATCCAGGCATCAACCAGGGCAGACTTCGGGAGCCGAGGAAGGAAAGTCAGAGAAGAACCCGGCTCAGGTCTCCCCTCCTGGTGGGTGGAGGTGCTGATGCGATCCCTGGACAAGCACGGAGCTGGGGTTCTGCCGGCCACCCAAGGCCCCCAGGCAACACCCTGGAGAATTTCTGGAGAAAACACCGGCAGAGAAAACACTTCAGAGATGAGCACAAGCTTTCCCGGCCTCTTTGGAGATCAGAGAGGAAAAAGCAGGAAAATTGCCCTTTGCCGCAAGCCCCTCAAGGACAGGTACGCTCCGGGGCTGTGACTGAAAGCCCTCCCTGCTGATGGGCTCCTCCTTCTCCAACCTGGCTCTGTTTTACCTCTGTGGTTTTGATCTGTTTTCACAAAGCTTTATGAAATGACCGGTGAGGGGATGCGGAGAACTTGGAGCACCTCAAAGGGAATCTCTTTGTAGTGACTTCACTGATGTCTGGCTTTCCTACAATGAACAATGTGTCCATCCTTCCCCCTCCCCCATCCAAAAAGCTCGCAGCATCCACCACCACACAGAACCAGCCCTGCCTCTGCCCGAGCCCTCCGACTTAATGAGTTTTCACTGAAAGGCGCTGTCATCTCTCAGCCCACTCTGAAAGTTGAAAGCTGGACCTAAATTATCCACCCACAATGGCCTTTCTTTGTGCCTGAGTCACCTGGAAAGTGTCACCTTTGCTGATGAAGACGTGTAAAGTGACTGAAAGCAGTGGCACTGCTGTGGAGCCTGTGCTGGTGTCTAAGCAACACATTTTGAGACCTGCAGAAATGGCTGAGCCGAATGATCGGGGTGGGTTTAATCAAGCTCATGGTAAAAGGTTTTTTTCCACAGAGATGCAAAAAAGCTGAACCTGGACAGGATGCTGTGGCGACTAGATAACTCTGGACATGCCTAAACTCCTCCCTGTGGTATAAATGTCCTTTGAGTGACCTCAGAGATCACTAGATAACACAGACCATGCTGATGCAGACAGTCCATGAGAGTGAGAGAGTAATTGGTAGCACTGAGGCATCAAAATTTGAGCCCCAGAAGTTAATTGGTGTGAAAAGGAGTGATGGGATCATCTTTCCCAGTGAAAATCTTTGCCAAGGTGCTCACTGAAATGCGTGCGGGACGCCAAGGTGTCACTTCTGACTGGGTGTCTCCTAGCACCCTCCTTACTTCCACAGTGCCAATTAATTCTGAGGTGTTTGTAGTATGAATGCTTTGCAGAAGTGGATGGAAGCACAAGCATCGGAGCTAGGCACCGAGCCGCATTTCAGGTGGCTGTGCAAGGCTTGCGTGGTTCACCCAGCTTCGGAAGATTTGTATGACAATCTGGTGGCACCTCAGGGTGTAAAACGATGTGATACTTCTCCAAGAGATGCCTGGATCTGTTTATATTCCATTCCGGTAGAGAGCTGAGGGTGAAACGTCCCTGATTTTGTCATTGCTGCAAATGGCATGCTGACAGTGAAAGTAACTGATCAGATGCTGTTATGTTGAACGAGCAGGGCAGCAGTGACTGACGAGAGAGCTCTGTGAGTCATTCGGAGCAACGCGTCTCCGTGTACCTCTGATCAGAAAAGCCCGAACAGATGTCTAAGCTTTTTTTTTTTTTTTTTTTGGAAATGCTTAAGAACAGCTGGCTAAATCCAGGGAGCACCAATGGGCTGCGTCTTCTCAGTGCCTAACTGCTCAGCAGCCTGCCAGATGTTGAGCAGCCTGCAGCAGCCTGCGAAGCACACGGCGGAGGCGGAGCTCGACCCCGGCTGGATGAAGATTTGCCCCCAGGCGACCCCTCTCTCAGAGATGTTACCCACATGTTTAGGAAGACCCTGCAAATGTTTTCAGACCACATCAGAAATCACTGGGTTGCAGCAATTGCTCGGGAAACGTTTTCACCATTGCTCAGAACAAAGTCGGACCCTGCACCAGCACCCAGAGAGATACAAAAAGCAAAGAATGCAAATTTTAGGCTAGGGAGTCAGAATTCAACCATCCCTTCATGGAAGAATAGGGAAAAAAAGATTGAAGACACCCCAGGGGCAGAGCCCTGCACACCGCAGGGGAGACCCCTGCTTGCCATTGCTCGTGGAGCCCAGGAGATCAGCCAGCTCTCGGTCACCCTTATGTGAGGAGGGGGATGAAGCACAACGTATTGCCAGTGTGCAACGCCTCCATCACGGGCAGACACTTCCACTAAAAAGCTCTTCATTACAAGTTGTTATGAAAGTCTGCGGATTTTTTTTTTTTTCAATGTCCGATAGACTTCTCACCAGAGTTGAGGTGTTGCTACTGCTACAGGAACCACAGTCAGCAGAGCTTGCGGTTATCCAAACAAAGCCTCTGAGATAGCTGTCTTCCAGAAGTGTTAAAGTCTGCCACACCTAAAGCAACCAGAGCTGAAACTGGGGAGGAGATGACCCATTCAGAGTTCAGCTCAGTACATCCCACCCACACCCCGGTCCCCCCCTCTCTTCACCGTGGAAAGCCCAAACTATTGTTCCCACTTTTCAGAGCTCAGCTCCACCCAAGCTGCTCCAGGCAGAGAAGTGTCACTGGGCTCTTTGGGGACACAGTTGTCTTGGGAAGGTAGAAGAGACCACAGCTGTGCTGTGAGTTTGGGGATGAAGCCCAGTTCCCTCCGCTTTAAGCCTAGCTTGGGGTGGGGAGGCGGGGGGGCACAAGGCAAGTACCAGATGATGAGAGGTGCTTCAAGAACAGGACTCCTGTCTGTGTCTTTAAACCTCAGCCAGGAGCTTCCCAAAGAAGTTGCATCCGTGCCTGCCCTGCTTGTCCCTCACTCCATCCTTGTATGGTTGCTCTGCCCCTAATCCCCTCAGCAGCATGGCTCGGTGGGGAGATGGAGGAGCCGGGATATGCTTCCAGCTTGTCAGTGCCCAGTGCTCTCCAGCAGTAGCTGCGCTGGATGATACAGCAGCACCCTGAGGCCAGGAGCAACCAGGCAGGAGGGAGCTCCATCAGCTCCTGGGGCTCCCAGAGCAC